ATAACGGATTATTAATCGGAGATCATGGATTAATTTTAGTTTTTATGTGTCTCTGTATGGCTTCCGAAGAAAAAAAAACTCACAAGTCGAAAATAAACTGACAACGCCATGGCAAAAAAAAAAAAGAAAAAGAAAAGACAAACAGACAAACAACAGTATACAAATCACAATATAACAAACTTAAGACTGAGCAATACGAATCTCAACAAAAACCCGGGATGATCTCAAGTGCTCCGGAAAGGTAAGCAGATCCTGCACTACATGTGGCATCCGTCGTGTTTCTCAAGTAGCAATACACAGTTAGGACTGCGTTTGTTTTCATACCTTGGCCACGATGATTTTTTTAAATATGAAAGTTATTGTGCAATACAATTGATTTTTAGATAGCTGATGAATAATATAGCCTTCAAAGTAGGTTTATATAAGCATTAAGATTGTTTTTTGTATGTTTTATAAGCCATTTTCGTACCGCCCAAATGTCCAGAAATTATTGTAGTGTTTTCCAACAAATATTTGACGCTCGAACTTTTTAATTCAATTTTTAGCATATACATAATACAAACTTTAAGCCTTATTTGTTAGAAAGCAAGGGAAAGAGGCCATTTTAAGGTTTTTTCCTAGCTGTGTATTGCTACCTCATGCAAGTACAAATCTGGTGATAAGTCTAGTTCGTTAGGTCGCTATCGGGGAAAAGGGGGACGGGATTGTGATTACAATTGGAACATATCCGTCGTCATCTGTCAAACAGATATTCCATTATAAGTAAGCAAACATTTTTCTATATAATTGATAGCAAGGTGTTTTTCCAAAAGTTGAAAAATTCTTTTTTAATAGTAGTTACAGTACAATCCAATAATGTTGCAACAGCGATAGATTTCTTTTATGAAACCATAATTTTAGTGAAAATAGAACCATAGAAAAATATTGGAAAAACGTTTACCAGCTAAGCAGTAGTAATATAAATTTAAGGTACACATTCAGGGAAGTTTCACTCACGTGAATGTGGTAGTGTGTTAATTTGGATATTTTTACTTTTGTATTATACTTTGATATTGTGATACTATATATTTGATGAGTGTAATACTTTTAATTCTAAGTACTTAGTGAGTTAGTTTCTAGTCATGCTCCACTGGTTATGTTCATTGTACGATTTTTACATGGCTCAGTGAGTTTTGATATATTGGTTATTTGTTTACTCTCTGGGTTTTACTAGTTTGTATTGTGAAACTTTTCTTCTTTGTGATAATTGGCTAATTTAGTCATATGGTCATTTTGGAGGGAAATTCTATTGTTAGGTCAGAATTTACTCATACTTTGAATTGTATAGTTGTGTGTTGTTTGCTTTGATATATTTATATTTGTGGACATCTTTGATTCCATTATCAGATATTTGAACCATACTGTTCGCATATCATGTAGAAGATTCCATATTGTAAATACAGGACCTATGTACCTCATGCATGGGTCATTTCTTATATTACACAATAAAACGGATCCATTGATCCTGAGGTGTTTATTTTATTATACGACCAAAACAACCTGGTTACATGAATTTCACGTGAATTTAGATTCATGTGAATCTCACGTGAATTTCACCTCAAACGAACTCACATGGTCTGATTTCACATAAGTCTCGCGTTAATTTCATGTGAAAATCATATGATTTTTGTCACGTGAAATTCACGTGAATTTTCAAAATAAAGTTGTTCATATGATATCAAAATTTTCAAATTAAATTAAAATCATGAAAATTACCAATTTTTTTGTTTTTGTAAAATTCACGTGAGAATCTTAGTTCACTTGAATTCACAGGACAATTTTGACGTTACTTTCACGTACAAGCTCGTTTCAGGTGAATTTCATGTGAATAATTCACGTGAGAAAAATTTGCCTGTGTGTGATGCTGATTTCTGTGTGAATGAGACGTGTTTTCGAATACACGCAGAGGCCAAATAGACAGGAAAGCCAAGTATCGTATGGTCATCACTGAATACATTTATCTTATTTTCAGTACTCAGTGGCGGATCCAGAACTTTTCATAAGGGCGCCCGCTGACTGACCTAAGGGGGGCCCCGCTCCAGTCATGCTTCAGTGATTCCCTATATAATCAACCAAATTTTTCCCACAAAAGGGGGGCCCGGGCCAACCAGCCCCCCCCCCCCACCTGGATCCGCCTATGGTACTGATCGAGATTTCACATGCATATTGATACCAATTGTTTATCCGTTACCATATTCGTGAAAGATTTTGACTTACTTTAACGGTATGCAGTAAAAATGTTTAAACAGCTTTTGTCATATGATGCAACAAGAAGATTGTTTTTCTGTTTTGTAACTGCATTGAATTAACATTTTTTTAATCTTGTTATGCAAAGTAGTTAGATACCTAAGATCAAGATTTTCTCAATTTTATATCATTGGTACATATTTATTTGTATGATTTTCAGATGTGCACGATACATTGTGGAAAATATACCATACTATTCACAGTATTCTTAACTCTTTCAACATCATTGCCACTCGACTCGAGTCTTCGTAAAGGTATGTGTAAACTAGCAAGCATGAACAATTTCATTGTCATAAGATCACTTTCATACTTCATATCTTCATTGAAAAATTACTACTGGATTATCTTACCTTGAAAACAAATTTCTATGGTAAAAGTCCATACGGACAGATACTTTCTATGGTACAAGTCCATACGGACAGATACTGTCTATGGTAAGAGTACATACGGACAAATATTCATCTTGACTAAATGAAACAATATTAAGAAATATGTTTTATTTGAATTGAAAGTTAAGTTAGATAATAAAATGACAGAAGTTCTTATTTTATAAAAAGAAACCAACAATTGTCAATTAAAACATCATATTAATATGTTTATCCACAAGTTATATTCATTGATATTTCCAGACCACAATGGCTGTTATGCACATGAATTTCGATGCCTAAACAGATATTACTGTATAAACCGTCGTTATGTTTGTGACGAAATAAACGACTGTGGAGATTTTTCTGATGAGAGTAATTGTTCAAGTATGTAACATATAAGATATTCAAATTGTTCATTAATTAAGCACTTGCAATTCGTTAGTTATCACACCTTTCGACAGTTTGTTGTTAGTTTACTGTCCATACTTATTAATGGCATGACATAGAATGAATTGGCATGGTAATTGTGTATAATCATATGGCGGAAAATAAGTTGTTGAATTAAAGTCTTCGGTTATGTTTTCTGGAGTACAAAACCCTTGAACTCACATGGGAATGTTAGTTTCCAACCTTAACAACGTTTGGACACAACATTTTATAAGACATTTAGTTTCCCCGTCCCTTTTTGTTTTTGTATAAATGATAGGTCGAGTACAATAAGATAATCCACTCCTGCAATTAAATAATCACCAAATAATGTTAGAACTGCAGTTTTGCCTTTCCAATGTTATATCGTTTTCCATCACCAGAATGGAGGGGTCATATCTGTGAACCATATCTATTTCAATGTATATTTTTCATGATGACAATACTTGTCACACAGTAGCACGAATGTTTTTTTTTATACGTACCTCTCTTTACTTGCTTTACCTGCAACAACTCTACTATGTATTGTCTCCATTTGATAACAATATTGTTTATACTGGACTTTTGACTTTGTTGTGCCTTCCTTGCATGGTACAAGATGCATTTTAACCCAGTATTATTGTTCCTAGTATTTGTATTTCGGAAAGAAACCCGTGTAGAATAACAATACCGGTATCTCTTTAACTCCAGAATTTCTATCTCTAAAGAACATTCACGCCTTTGTTTTATTTACATTTAAATAGCAATTTTGCTGCGTTAGTTACTCATAAATGAATTATACTTATATGCTTAATTTTCATTTCGACATATTAAATGTGTTGTTTGACATCTGCTTGTCACCCAAAGTGACAAATGAGAGACAGAAGATACCCTCCAAAAACGACAGAATTACACTTAATAACAAATAAATTGTTGATAATTTTACTGTTTTGGTTTTTAATGTAATTCAATAACGGCTAAATTGTTCAATTATATGTTTATTCTACAGATAAAAAGTGTTTTCAAGGTGAATTCTTGTGTAGATCTAATGGAATATACGTGTGTCATCCAAACCACTACACATGTGATGGTGAATCGGACTGTGATGACCAATCTGATGAAAGAAATTGCCCAAGTAAATTGATATTCCTTTTGTTGTTGTCGCTCTTGTATTCTTTTGGTCTTTCTTTTTCTGATCTAGCTATGTTAAAGCCATGCATCTTTTTTTAAACATTTTTAAAGTAAAATGAAAACCCCCGATACCAACTTAGTGTTTTTTGGGGAATAACCTTCATCTTGTACGTTTGGGAATCAACACTTATAAAAAAAAAGTTCTGAGCATTAAAACCAAAAAGAGCATAAAGAGAACTAAGGTTAATTTTGAATGAAAGAGTTGCAACTTTATTATAAGAATAAAGATATTAATAAATGATGCAATTGAAAATTTTAAATCCAAATATATGATTATATAATCATGCCAGTACAGAAGAACTGGCTACAAGGCTGAAGTTACACTTGGGGATTTGACAGTCCTCCTGTGGCGTCACTGACTAAGAAGTATTAATATAAGGCTACGGTACCGACTACTGTGCGCATCACACGTTCATTCTAACTTTCACCACGAAATATATATTATATAATGCCATACACAAATTCGTGTATAAACATAAAAATAAGAAGATGGGGTATGATTGCCAATGAATTCTCCACCAGAGACCAAATTACATAGAAGTTGATAACTATAGGTCAACGTACGTACGGCCTTCAGCAATGAGCAACACCCGTACCGCATAGTCAACTATTAAATTTGTTTGAAGAAGTGGTAGACAATAGTTTTGCGATGTTCTTTTTTTGTGATTTGATGTTAAGTTGAAAAGTTACAAAGTAACAAATTTTTTGGTGCACTTTTGAAAAGAAAATGGAAGATTCCAAGAAAACATATAAACAAAAGGCATACACTTTATTTTGTATAAGTTTTTATACTTGATTGATTTCTTTCTAACATTTTGTTTATTTCAGTAAAAAGAAGTAACACGAACCTGTTTGATCACCTGAAGAGACCATTGAGTGCGAAAAGTCCTTTTTATTTTTACAAGCCTAATGAAGCTTTACCTTCTTTTAATTGATCGTCTTGCAATACATTAGGGGTATTTGTAAGCTTTACATACTCGAATTCCCGTTATTTGATCAACTTTACAGATTTTCGTTACATTGATTAATTGTTAATACTATAATAAAGGCTTGCATCTGTCATTAATATGTTAATTACTTGTTCTCAGGGAAATCAATATTGACATGTAGCTTCTGGTCTAGTGTTGCCTTAATTTGAGGAAAACTAGAAATATTCAATTATTTTCACACGACATGTAAAGAAATGACATATTTTAAAATAAAGCTTCGATATTTTTGTTCCTCTTTTGTGTTTGGTTTTATTCCTCATACGTAATATTTAGCTAGACTATTTTCCAATAATACACTGAAGCCATTACAGGATAGTTTACTATCTCATACGTAATATTTAGCTATACTATTTTCCAATAATACACTGAAGCCATAACAGGATAGTTTACTATCTCATACGTAATATTTAGCTAGACTTTTTTCCAATAATACACTGAAGCCATTACAGGATAGTTTACTATCTCATACGTAATATTTAGCTATACTATTTTCCAATAATACACTGAAGCCATTACAGGATAGTTTACTATCTCATACGTAATATTTAGCTAGACTTTTTTCCAATAATACACTGAAGCCATAACAGGATAGTTTACTATCTCTTCTAGCTTTATAAAGTTATTGAAATTTGGTTCAGCGCTTTTTAAGATGGAAGGTGATTCTGTTGAAATTAGTAATTTAAATAGTTGTGAGAAATGCACATGCTTTTGACACTTCATTTTATTGTTTTATTAAGTTTTGAAGAATTTGATTCGAGTCATGCACATGATTGCCTAGAGGCCATGAAATAAACGTTGAACATAATAATATATCTGTATTGCAAAATCAAGATTATATGAAGTTATGATTCAACATAGTATTACATATATACATTATAAATCTTATGCAACGGGTTACATGTTGTTTTCAAATTTACAATTTACAATACAAAAGTCAAACATGTGACTGTGACACTGTGCTAGTTGCATAGTCTCCGAACACCTGTTTTCTCAGGTTCAAACTGAAATGGAAAAAAAATAGAATAAGAAGTAAAGTCCGATTACGTCCTATTAATCAAAAATAACTTATTAAAAATCAAATTTGGATCACCTTTTTTTATATGATTACCCCACATTTGTTTTAGATATTGTTGTAAACTCAAAAAATGTTGGTTACAATATTTAATCAAACATTCAAAAAAATGTACATTAGATTTCTATAGAAAATATGTATTATGCAAACTATAATACTTTATAGTGGGTGGTATATTTCATGATCAGAACATCCCTTCAGTTGTAACGAACAACTATACTATTCATTGGTATATAAAAAATAGACACTTCTTTTGTTAGGGGGCATGCTTTATAAATTAATTATTTGATTCCAAATTTCTTGAAAAATATAAAACCCATACCCTAAAAAAGGATTTCAAGAAAACGTATGGTTAGGAATGACGACAATGACAAAAAGATGAACTTGGTCAAGAAATGTGAATATTCAATTTAAAAACTATATGAATAGAGGTTGGTAAGCTGCATCGTTGACCAGTCTGTATTTTCTCTTGCTATATGATTGTGTATCATCAACAAATACTTATCAAATGATAGAGCAACGATGCAATTTTGTATTATACATTAAACATCGTCCTTAATTCAAATTTAAATTAACTTTGAAACTGACCCAAAGATTTCTCAATATGAGAAAACTGTTTTAAAGATTACACACTGACCTGCAGTACTCTCTGTGTCCGTTGCAGTTTTTGTAGTCTTGGAAACACTCTAAAAAAAGTCAGGTATCAAGTGTATAAGCACCATTCGAGTAAGAAAAACTATTAATTTCTTTTAAAACTGTACATTTTTTTCCTAGATCTACTGTAAGTGTTTCCTTCGATTGGGGAATTTTGAGTAACGACTAAAAATCGGACTTTGTCATATCATATCTAAAATCCAATATTTATGATCTAATATATGCATATTTAGATAACTTCGACAATTTTTCTATCTACGGTTTGCTTTCGACAAATTTGACAACTTTTGAGGTACATGTATGATATTTTGCCCGTTTTTAGCGATTTTTCAAGATTAAATGCTATATTATGGTCTATTTCCTTTCGAAAAACCTTGGCAGCATCCATCGACCAAAATAAATTTGTTATAAAAAGATGTATATTGTTGAGATACACATCCTTACAAAAGTTCTGATGGTTCATGCCTGTGGCCAATACCAAAACTATAGCAAAATTTAGCAAAAAAATGAACGGTCAAAATTATGGTTTTCATCGTCATAGTGCACAATTACAATGTCATACAAGTATATGATAGTATTAATTATAACTGTTATAATATACCGTCTTGGTTGTCTCGTGGTAGTATGTTCGCCTCGAGTGCGGAAGGTCGTGGTTTCGAACCCCGGGTGGGTCAAACCAAAGACTAAGCACGCGGCATTAATGAGTAAGAGCAAAGAAATGTCTTCCTACGGACTGTTACCTTGTGAACTAGCACGGTCTAGTACAAAGCAGGCTTAGTATTCCTATTACATTTACATGTTCTCGTCCTGAATATGCATATTAACTTGCCGCTGGACGTCATCATCACCATACTGTTGTAATATGTCAGAGCTGGTTTAATATGAATTTTTCAGACATTTTTACATATTTGTTCATCAAATGTTAACTTTAATTGCTGGAGCTATATTTTGCGGAATTTTAGGGCCGATATTGTCCCTTCGTAAAATTACTCCTTTCGAACTTAGAATTTCATTGGACGTTATTAACTCAGACAATAAGACAGGACTATTTATATCTAGTTTTTAGAGTTCTTTTAAGGGGTACCCAACACAATAGACTAAAATAGATTTGGCTCGTTTAATTTTAATAAAAATTTACTTTGACCTGTTGACAAAAATATAATAATTTCAAGAAATTTGAACCACACAATTTACAAGAAAAATTTCATTGGACATCATATAGCAGTTTGACAAAAACTAATTTTGATCAATGAGAAGCTTGATTTTTATTAACTATTAGTACGGGATTAAAACGTTCAAATAATTTTTAAAGAGTTAACTCCCTTAGGTGTTCTGTACCCCCTTAAATAAAAAAACATATTAAACTTTGTTGCAAGGTGGGATGAAACCTGTATATATTTCATTTGGCCAAAACAAGATAATAACCTTAACGGTAACAATTGTTCTGTACCAGATGCGCATTTTGACATCTTAGACTAGTATTATATAAAATAATGATTGCCAATGTGACAACTATCCAAAATAGTACGAATAACGTGGATTGTTAAGTAAAAATGTCTTTTCAGCGATGCTCTAGGTCAAAATATTTGAAAATCTATAACTTTATACAGGCGAAGAGCTGATAATACCAAAAATACCAAACCTTGAAAAGGAATCAGGCTTACTCACGTGGGAGATACATTCCTTAATTTAAAATGCTTAACAAAATGATATAACAGTAACCTTCAATAAAAGTTCATATTCTATTTTCACTAAAACGTTCTCGTCCTGATGTGAATTAATATTTGCCACTGGACGTTAAACATCAGTCCATCATCATTACCGTTCAATTGACGTATATCCACGACTGATTTTTTACATACATCTAAACGGAGATTAACGTGTATTCAGATTCATTTTCAGTATAAACAAAATTTAAGTCACGTATATACGGATTAATTTCGGTATGCATAGTACCTAATTCGATTTATGTATATACAAAATTTGATTATCGTCTTTTCAGAACCATTTTCGTTTAAACATAATTCGATTTACGTTCATGCAGAATTCGATTTATGTATACATGGAACTATTTTCGTTTATACAGAATTTGATTTGCATATAAACGTAATTAGATTTACCTATCTGCATAAATCTATATTTTTCACACCTCTATACAGCGCTATACTAACGACGAAACTAAACGACTGCTTCTAGAGATATATTTTGACACATAAGAATGCAGACCTGTCCTACAAAATCCTTTTCGAAGTCAACATTAAATGATCCAAAATGTACATTTTCCACAACCAAAAACTATGACCTTTAAGGTAGCTTGAAGCGTAGTTAGTTTTGTCGTACATTCAACTGTTTACGCTTTTAATACCTGCTTATGATGTTCCTCCGTCCTAATAGGAATGGTGCGTGTGATGTTACTTTTTCTGGATAATTAATCCATTTGGTCGAATGAAGACAACGCCAGGTAAAAGTATCGACTTAATTGGTTTTATTCTAGTTACAAAATGTGGGCGATGAGAGCACATATGGCAACCCCCTTTTTTATCTGTATTACGTTTTAATAATTATTTCTTCCTAATTATTTCCTGTTTCAGTTGAATTTCCCTTTGACGAAACGTCTGTGTTTCAGAGCATTGAAATATCATTCTTCTATATTCGGAATATGAAAATGAAACTATAATTTTGGTTCATTCGAAGCCTTTTTCTAGATTAAATTCCAATTTACAGTTAAAAACGAAAAAAAAAATGTGAGTTATATGTTAATGAGAGAAAAAAAAACAAGAAGATTTAAAAGACAAAAAATACAGACTAAACCATCAGACATGTGTACCGGTATGCTACTTTGTACGTGCCAATCGCCCCGAATCTTAACAAAAGATGTGAATAAAAGAGTTCTGAACTACAAGCTATGAGACGCGGATTAAAATTATTGTATTTCAGGAGCTCCTGACTCATATTTAATTCTAGATATCCATACACCATTGAAACATTTTGAAATAATTCATGACACTTTCATGATAGTCTAGAATATTTCAGGACTTCCAAAAAAAAAATCGGCCAAAATTGCTTTATTTAAGGAGGTTTTAAATATTTCAGAATATCCTAAATATTAAAGGAGCTTCACAATTTCACTAAATATCTTTCGAGCTTTTAGTGATTTTCATGGGATTAAAAAGCTTATCGCAATGCGTCAAAATTAATTGTTAAAAGATTTTTGCAGCATTGTCTATAGATATAGGAAGATGTGGTATGAGTGCCAATGAGACAACTCTCCATCTAAGTTACAATTTATAAAAGTAAACCATTATAGGTCAAGGTACGGCCTTCAACACGGAGCATTGGCTCACACCGAACAGCAAGCTATAAAGGGCCCCAAAAAATTACTAGTGTAAAATCATTCAAATGGAAAAACCAACGGTCTAATCTATATAAAAACTAGAAACGAGAAACACGTATCTATGAAAATCATCACTTTTGAAGAAACCTGCGTCATATTATACACAGGTAAATGAAAATTATTTTGTTGTTAAGTATACTTCTTCTTCTGTGTGTATAAAATCTTCCGTTTAGGAATACCAAGAAATTTCTTTAATATCAATAAAACTAATCTAACACTTGGTACATATGGGGTGAATATCAACAATAAAAATATACAATTAGTGCTAGATAAAACTTCCTGTACAGGTCCAAGAACAGCATCTAAGGAAAAATGAAATAATTTTGATGTTCATAGTACGAAGAAGTGAAAATTTGTAGTAAATTAAATACCAAATAATCAAAGCTGGTATATAGACAAGATCCTTGTTAACATTAAATAACAAAAAAGCATTACAAATAGTATCAACAGGTCAAATCAAAAAGAAAGTACGATTTGAGAGTACTCGCAGTTACTGACAGCTAGTTAAAAGCCAAAACAATTAATAATAAAAAATCATGCATCAGAGACTAAAATCAACTAAAATACATCCCAGGGATTTAGTATTTTAACGTCATGAACAGTCAAAGAAGATATGACTTGTGCAATGCCAAAAATAAATGTATCGACAGGTAGTAGGATAGTTAGGAGTGACTTCTTTATAGAAAAAAATGAACGTGTGTGTGTCTCTATACATCCCGTTTGAAAAGAAAATACAAATTTAGTTATGTTTTAATTTGCTAATGAAAAAATCGATATAAGTGCCAATGTAAACTATCTTCTAATCCATATCACTGTTGCAGTTCTTAAATAACAAACATAAAGTATCATCAGTCCAATAACTACACATTGAATATGCATTAATAGCAAAATAAGATAAAGTCATAATATTTCATGAACTAACCGTATCCACGGTTGATACGTCCATCTTCTCTTTCCTTTTCAGTTTAGCCCAGGGATGATCTTGAACGAATCTGTCGTATTTACGTTTTACTGCTTGCTGTATCTTCAAATCAATATCGCAATAAATAAAGTTCAGTGTATGTTTACTTGTTTTTGTTAATATATCTATTTGATCGAGTTAAGCCATTTTCATTGATATTATAGTGTGTCTTTCTATGCTGTAATGTTACACTACTGTTTCAGGTAAGGGTGAAGGTTGACGCCTGTTAAAACGTTTAAACCCGCTGCATCTGTCCTAAGTCAGGAGCCTGTTGTTCAGTGGTCGTCGTTTGTTGATGTGGTTCATAAGTGTTTCTCGTTTCTCGTTTTTTTTATAGATTAGACCGTTGGTTTTCCTGTTTGAATTGTTTTACACTAGTCATTTTGGGCCCTTTATAGCTTGCTGTTCGGTATGAGCCAAGGCTCCGTGTTGAAGTCCGTACTTTGATCTATAATTGTTTATTTTTTACACATTGTGACTTGGATGGAGAGTTGTCTCATTGGCAATCACACCACATCTTCTTATTACTATTAAATTTGAACAAACAGAAAGAATATCTGTGATGTTTTTTTTTATAAAGTTCAAGATCATTTAGTCCGAGATTACTCTGACGTCCAACGGCTGTTTTGCCAGACAAGCTGGGGCCGTGGGACGTCAGAGCTCGTCCCATATCAAAAAGTGGATATTTGCCCGTCCAAAATAGATGCGCTGCTTCGTCGCTTCTGGTGCCAACGAACGGCCTTGGAATTATATAAATCGGGTATCAATTTGTTCATTTTTCATTTATCTCTTCATTTATGTAAGTTTCACCTACCTGCCACCCTTTACTTTCTCATATTTAGACAGTTTTCACAGTGACCCACCGATTCTGGCATTTTGACTTTCATTTTGAAAGATTGTCATGTGATCACGAGAAAAAAGTTAGGCACAATGGACTATGGGAAATGATGCATGCATATGACCCTAGGTCAATATGAATATATAATCTAACACCTCGCTCATTTACGATGCAAACAATGTAAATATCCGAGAGCTTCCGAATGTTATCGTGGTTGGCACTAAATGCTTAATACCGATCTCCTGTAAAGGAGGTGAAAAATCGTGGTTGGCTACTAAATGTTAAATATCGATCTCCTATAAAGGAGGTGAAAAAAGTATAAATATTTGCATATTTGAGTCTCGAGGTCGCAAAATCTCTCGTAACTTGACGTCCATTTGAAAATAAAAGTAAAAATGTCTGAATCGATGGGTCACTGTGAAAACTGTCTAAATATGAGAAAATAAAGGGTGGCAGGTAGGTGAAACTTACATAAATGAAGAGATAAATGAAAAATGAACAAATTGATACCCGATTTATATAATTCCAAGGCCGTCCGTTGGCACCAGAAGCGACGAAGCAGCTCATCTATTTTGGACGGGCAAATATCCACTTTTTGATATGGGACGAGCTCTGACGTCCCACGGCCCCAGCTTGTCTGGCAAAACAGCCGTTAGACGTCAGAGTAATCTCGGACTAAAGATCATTGTGAATGTTGAAATGTTAAAACCTATTTCAAAGAAACAGTCAATGGTTTACATGATTACCGCCTAAACTTGATCGAGCCTTTCTGAATGAAAAATAGAAAGCAACTCTGTATCATCACAGATTTTAAAATCACAAACGTGAAGTTAACTTATAAATAATTAATGCTAAAAACGTGTAAAATACTTACTTTTGCATTCATTAGACAGTGAAAAATAAAGATTAATAAACCCTGAAATATACAATAAACACTGTACTTGCTTAACTGTTCAGGATAAATTCATATAGCAAAGTTATATTGATGTAAAACAACTACAGAAGACCGACATGCACATGAATTATTAAAATTGATCGAAAATTTGTTATAGAAGAATTTGTTTTGTTCAAATTCGACAATCTTTGATTACTTAATGTTGAAAAGTAAATGTACAGTACCTATTGAAGTAATCTTAACATAATTCCCTTATGGAAGCTTATTTTGGAGGAAATTTGTACTTTTCCGTTGCAAGAGTTTCACTCTGAACAAGGTACAGGTGAATAATATATAACTTGCATCAATATATGTTTTGTTCAACATTGGATGTACTTTTTGTAATTACTTAACCTTGTAAAATTGTAGTTCATACCTGAAAAGAGTTCAAAATTGTGAATAAATAAGCAAAAACAATGAGGTCTTTATGAGAAGCTAATACGCCAAATAGCCACGTAAGCCCTAGTGTTGGAGCTAGAACAGCTATGCTACGAACACCAGCCCTGAAATTATAAATATTTAATCAATGTAATTAATCTTTTAAGATTTTGCAAGTTTACTACTTCTATTTAACGTCTTACCTGAAAAAAGAAGTTTATTTATTATTAAATTTCACGGTTGTTTATTTGTTTGTACATTTTATAGTCTCTCAACATTATACATGTCATTCCCGTTCTATATGCTGCGCCTAAAGATTTGTTTGTTAAGCAAATCCGGGAAGACTCATTGTTCCATTTTGCAACTTTTCTAACAGGGAATATTTCAAGTTTTCTCCATGATATATTCTAACCTATTTCATACTTGCAAATCAGCCAACTTCCTTTAAAGGAATCTATCATGACTTCGGACGAACCAAATTTATAAAGTGTTATTTGCATTTCTAATATTTTTGGACAATTTTGGCTGTGGAATGATTGTTGTGGTGGATGGTTGTTTATACCAAACAACCACAATCAGTCGGATTTGGTGATCACGTTACCACGATACCATCGATACAGATGTTTGTGAAAGGAAATTTCTAAATTATCTTCACTTTGGGCATCACTGGTCTCTATACCAGGATCCCATGTTTCAAAACTTCAAACACAATAAGAAAGTGCTATACCAATTAAACTGTCAAGGAGTACCATACTGAAGCAGTTAATTGAAATATAGCTATACTTTTAACATATAATAGTCACCATTCGAATAATGCCGATATTCAACGTCGAACCGTACCTAAAATTGAATTACATTGAAACAAGTTGAACGTAAAATTTAAGTATCCGACGTCATTTAATAATCTCTGAAATGATTATTAATGGATGGAAAGCACCCCTATTATTTTTTATATTTTGTTGAGAATGCAAAGTTATATCCAAAGCTTCCTTTAATTTCCCATTTAAACCATGTTCATAGGGACTATAACTTAAATAGAATGCACTACGACAATTTCGTTAAGTAATATAGTTTGTATGGATGGATTCCCTTTATGAAAATGCGGAAATCTCGAGATACATTTAGATATCAGACCACCAATTCAAAATCCCTATCTATTCAACCAAATTTTGCAATTTTCACAGCTTCCTAAATGTTTTACCTTAAGTTTACTTCATAGAAACTAGGTATATCCTGAATTGTACATGTATCATCTTTCTAAATGCCAATTTTCAACTTATGTTTAAAGTCTTGTAGCGAAATACTTACGTTCGGAAGACAAGTACTGCTAAAAATAACCCCTGGTTTTCTGGAAATCTTTAACAAGTATACTATGGAGCGCATTTATCCTCAATTTCTAATGCAAACTCATGGACAAGTAAATTTTGGCTCAAAATGGTCTACATATATTTCTCTTTCAACAAAATTTTCATTTCTGCAAATTTGTTGATTTTTGTCATTGGATCACATTGATCTGACTGAAAGGTCGTTTATAGATTTATTTGAAGAAAGAGTTTGAATATCATTAGGTGGAGCTAAAACAAAATCCAATTTTTCAAAAACAGGAGACTAAAATGACAATTTGTTTTAAGTAAAACATACCTTACAATTAATTTTTAGTACACCATAGTTTTACCTGACTTTTTCTTTAGTTTCCTTTTTCATCATTGCTTGTGTTGAGAACATCTTCCTCAGTACTAATACACTTATTATACAATTCGTCTAAATACCAAAAGTTACAACTTATTACAATAATACTACATCGAAAATAATAGTTTGTAAGATTTTTTGTATAGTCAATCATTCATGGATTCATATTTATTTACTTGTATTCAAACATACAAAGAAAAACCAAGGTGGCAATAAAAAAATGATAAAACAATAAAGACAACGCCACGGCCAAAAATAAAAGCAACGAATGGACAAACAAAATTAACAATACTTAATATATAAAATTATATTCTATAACGTTCGACCAAATCATATCATGATGGCGTCCGTAAAACCTCCGAAGAGATTACTTCAACTTTGCCGCCTGGAGACCTTGATGTAATAGTTGCCTAGTAAGCAATAACCCTCCTACATGGATATCAATTTCGGAAACACAAGCCCCGGAATATCGTATTAACTTCACGATGGTAAATTGAAATCGTATCTTTTGTCGTAAAGTTGGGTTCTCAACCAACCCTTATTGTCAACTGTTAGATATACGTCAAGATATGCAGCAGATTTCACCCTATCTGTATTTTTGGATAGATGCAGTCAACATAGTCACCAAATTTGAACGTGGAATTAAAGTATAATGCCAGCTTCTTTTCGATTTTTATAGATGTTTTATAATATATATATATGTATAATCAATTGAAATGTCCATGTTCGCCTTAGTTTTTAATTATTTTCACAGTATGAATGTTATACAATGTATTCACGTTGTCTATTCTTACAAAAAAGAGGTGGAATTTTGATACAAGATATTCTTACTTTAATTCTTTTGAAAATAATTAATGTTATGTTTAATAACATCAAATTGATGGTTTAGCCTTTTGTACAGGAACAATGTCCATCGCCTATGAAATGCAATTAATTCTTTACCGTGTGTAGCCAAATGAATTTTGTGATAGATGAGATGAATGTGTAAAATATACATACCAAGACCGCAACAATGCAAGGTACTAGAAAGGCGTATATCAATCCATTTGAGACTGACAACCAACAACTGCAATTGATTAATGTATGATTTGGTTTACAAGCGAGATTATTTGAAACGGTGTTCTCAGTATTTTCAATCTATATACCAGTACCTCTACATGAAAGCATTTGAGGATAATAGTTTAAATGTTCAATTTAATCATTTATTTCAAAATCGTGTGCTGGCAAATTAGGATGCTAAAAGGATAACAATTTGGCTTTTTAACATTATTTGCATTTCAAAGGGCATGACAACCTCTACATTATTCGATCGTCTCTGCTTTTCAAATGTTAACTTTTGAAATAATATGTATTAACCTCGAGTTATAACTGGGTCTTAAAGGGCTTACACTGTTTACTAGGGGATATAAGTACTTACCGCAATACCCTCAACTGAGATTTTGCTGATGTTAACCTTTGATATAAATTTTTTCGAACTTCGAAGAGAAATGATGTTACGAGACCACAAAAAAAGTTATTTTTCAATACTTTTTACATTTCCAAGGAGAAATACTTCCCAAATCGATCAAGTCATATATTTTATATCAAACGAGATACTGCAGTAACAACCTTTGGCATACATTTGACTCTGATCAAATTAAAACTGTAGGAGTAAACGTTTACAATGTTTATTTCCAAGGGATATAGACATAAACAATCCGCCCTGATTTTGTTTTAACTTATTCAACATTGTTGATGTGAGTTGACAAAAAAAAAATCAAAGCGACAATCGGAACGAGCGCGCTTTCACTGTTGATCTCCATAGTATTTAAATTTCTAAATGGAATGATACCCCAAAAGTAATCGATCGACCCTGATTTTCAAACTCTTCAGAATTAACCTAACCATACGTGTTCCTTATAAACAGTTCCTGTTCCACTAGTTGAACCAAACATTTAGCTCCTTAGCGATCCCTGATCTCCACTAGTTGAACCAAACGTTTAGCTCCTTAGCGGTCCCTGATCTCCACTAGTTGAACCAAACGTTTAGCTCCTTTGTGATCCCTGATCTCCACTAGTTGAACCAAACGTTTAGCTCCTTAGCAGTCCCTGATCTCCACTAGTTGAACCAAACGTTTAGCTCCTTAGCGATCCCTGATCTCCACTAGTTGAACCAAACGTTAAGCTCCATAGCGGTCCCTGATCTCCACTAGTTGAACCAAACGTTTAGCTCCTTAGCGGTCCCTGATCTCCACTAGTTGAACCAAACGTTTAGCTCCTTAGCGGTCCCTGATCTCCACTAGTTGAACCAAACGTTTAGCTCCTTAGCGGTCCCTGATCTCCACTAGTTGAACCAAACGTTTAGCTCCATAGCGGTCCCTGATCTCAACTAGTTGAACCAAACGTTTAGCTCCTTAGCGGTCCCTGATCTCCACTAGTTGAACCAAACGTTTAGCTCCTTAGCGATCCCTGATCTCCACTAGTTGAACCAAACGTTTAGCTCCTTAGCGATCCCTGATCTCCACTAGTTGAACCAAACGTTTAGCTCCTTAGCGGTCCCTGATCTCCACTAGTTAGCGGTCCCTGATCTCCACTAGTTGAACAAAACGTTTAGCTCCTTAGCGATCCCTGATCTCCACTAGTTGAACCAAACGTTTAGCTCCTTAGCGGTCCCTAATCTCCACTAGTTGAACCAAACGTTTAGCTCCTTAGCGGTCCCTGATCTCCACTAGTTGAACCAAACGTTTAGCTCCATAGCGGTCCCTGATCACCACTAGTTGAACCAAACGTTTAGCTCCTTAGCGGTCCCTGATCTCCACTAGTTGAACCAAACGTTTAGCTCCTTAGCAATCCCTGATCTCCACTAGTTGAACCAAACGTTTAGCTCCTTAGCGGTCCCTGATCTCCACTAGTTGAACCAAACGTTTAGCTCCTTAGCGGTCCCTGATCTCCACTAGTTGAACCAAACGTTTAGCTCCTTAGCGATCCCTGATCTCCACTAGTTGAACCAAACGTTTAGCTCCATAGCGGTCCCTGATCTCCACTAGTTGAACCAAACGTTAAGCCCCTTAGCGATCCCTGATCTCCACTAGTTGAACCAAACGTTTAGCCCCTTAGCGGTCCCTGATCTCCACTAGTTGAACCAAACGTTTAGCTCCTTAGCGATCCCTGATCTCCACTAGTTGAACCAAACGTTTAGCTCCATAGCGGTCCCTGATCTCCACTAGTTGAACCAAACGTTTAGCTCCTTAGCGGTCCCTGATCTCCACTAGTTGAACCAAACGTTTAGCCCCTTAGCGATCCCTGATCTCCACTAGTTGAACCAAATGTTTAACTCCTTAGCGGTCCCTGATCTCCACTAGTTGCACCCATCCTTTGCTCGTTGAAAAGATCCGATAATTAATATTTATTTGTTTCAGTGGTCATCATTTTATTTCAAATATATTTAAATCAAACTGTGTTTTGTGATGTTATTATACATTTTTACTTACTACTTTTCGGTCCCATATCCTTTAAACTTAGTTGCTGCCATAGAGATTACGACGATGACAAGAGGGAACACTAAAAGAAAAAAGAAACATTATATGGTGTGTTTAAATCTAAAGATTGTATTTCTATAAGACACTACAAAAAGCACTGCCAATTCAAAATAATATTGTTTATAATTATTCCGCACATCGCCATAAGTAATACCTGAAGTTTTAAAGAAGTAGATATAATGAAGTTACTTAAGTAGGCAAATTACGTTTAAAACCAATCATCATCTATATAATGATTACATAGACTAAAGAAGTAGTCTTCAAATACCAAGAGTTATTAAATTATAGGTTGTCATAATCCTGAATCACCCGCCTTGTAAAACTATTCCATTATAGCTGAAGAGAGTATTAAAATATAACTACAGTAACAACTCTGGCCATATTATTTTTGGCACTTGGATAAAAATTGAACGTTTCTTCTGGACGAAAGTTTGAACACATGGAATTACCTTCTAAAACATTTACCAGGACTTTGAAAGAAGTTGATGAGGATCTAAAAAAATATATAGATATATATGTCACGTTTGCTTTCAATTGGTTCACTATTTCTTCAGAAATTTATTCAAAAGTGGACCAATCTGAACCTTTGTGTCCCCATCGTCTTTGTGTCTGGGCCGTTATAACATTTTAGTAAGTACCTTCTTCAAACCACTACTAGATGCAATCATTTCACTTTATTTTTTCTTAAAAATAATAAGATAAACCAAACAGAAACTTAAATAGGTGGCTTTTTAAAAAAAAAAATGCTACAAAGATACATAATTGGAAATAACTTTGCAATGCATTTTCTATCCATTTCTGATTTATTTCTGTACAGTGGTTCTTATGAAGTAAAATATAAACAGACGACGACTGAAGAAAAACACTTAGTTATTCATAATAGCTTTCATGGCTAAATGTGACCTAAAATAGATATTGTTACAATTTTTACTGAAGTTGTTTATTGTCAATGTTTTTCTCGAGTGATAAATTAATACCTAGTCCAAATGATAACAATAGTCCTGCGTTTGATCTTCCTTGTGAAAATACTATTAAGATTGACATAGCTATGTCTATTCCTTCAGCTACCATCAGACACAACGCACACAAAAATAAGTAGTGCAGGACAATAGCTATCGCTGAACAACTAGACTACAATGAAAAATTCAATATGTTAATAGCTAATAATATAAAAAGTGACTTGCATTTATTTTTCAAATTCAAGCAAATATGAATGTTTGGATAGAAACAAGTCCATAATCAAATTGATTTCTTTAGCCATTTTGCGACAATAGTATTATGACAAGTAAAATTGAGAATGGAAATGGGGAATGTGTCAAAGAGACAACAACCCGACCAAAGGCCAGAAAACAGCCGAAGGCCACAAAAAAACTGCTTTTTGAAGCACAATGTAAAAATTATTGTCAGTTTTAATTTCATGATGTACACGTACATCTAATTATACCTTCAACCTATTGACGTTAACGTAAATGTGTCTTCTTCGGAAAAGGTGCTAATCACCAAAGTTTCATAAACATGTGATTATCATTTAAGATATTATCGAACGTCGGTGGTTCTCTCCGGGCACTTTGTTCTTCCTTCACCATTAAATACTGACCACAATGATATAGGAAATAGTGACGAAAGTGTCATTAAAAAAACTGGATGATCTCAGGTGATCCGGAAAGGTCACCAGTTCCTGCTCGTCAATTTCATTCGCGTGATACTACTGAGTCATATTCAGTGCATAACGGTTTTATCCTCTGAAAGATAAAAATGTAAAGCTATTTAATTAAAGTGAAAAGGTAGACTTTATTTATCTAAACTACTTACTGAGTTCTCTGTAAGATTTAAGCCAGCTAACAAGATGATATAAGCAAGCACTAACACTGAACAAAGGCAGATTAGAATCTTGGATTTGTCTGAATTCACGTTCCTATTATAAATATAAATGAAAAAAATTAAATGGCAACAAAGTCACGGACTATTGAGTTGTTAAACAAGTTTTGAGTTGGTTTTATTATACTTTTTATTTTTTTCTTGTATGTTACAACAATAATATAGGGTTATTGCATGAATATTGGGGAATATTGTCCCGAGTAGAATTTTATATTGCACGAGCTTGCGAGTGCAATATATGTTCTACGAGGGACAATATTCCCCAATATTCATGCAATAACCCTTTTATTGTATAGCAATATAATATTTGAAAGTAAAAATTGGTTTAAACTAAGATTTTGTCGTTGATGACGTCATAAATTTTGAAAATTTATTGCACTAGTGCAATATTAGAATTTATTGCACGCTAACTTCTGGTTACTTTCTGTGGGAAATATTATATTGCTATGCAATAAAAAGTTTTATTTTTTATGAGCAGGCATTACCTGCCACATTTGTTTGAATACACACCAAAATTAGAGAATATGCTGGCAAACTATAAAGTATAACTAAGCTTTATATAACTAATTTGACTGTCATACTAAACTCAAGAATATATCTTTCTTTGTCTTCAGAGTATAAAATCATACTGCCCTTACAACAGTCTTTGATAATGTCGGAAAAATCATTGGTTTCGAAATTTATCATTTTTATTTCAAGTTCTAACAATTGTCTTCTTTCTATTTTCTGAATGTGGTCTGCACATAAAATTTAAAAGATGAATATTGTAAGAAGAACATTTGAAGCACTTGAAGTATTGAGCACACAAAATGCAAAAATATGTTAAACTGTTTGGTCATTGACTGTGAATCGATGCTCTAAGGTTGATACAAAACGACCATTTGATTCCGAAGGTGAAATACGAAGCAAGATATTCATCAAAAATATTGTAAGATTTTTATATATCTTTTCGATCTTGTATGGTCTTCAAGATTTCAAATATTTACTTTCATCGTCTTCCATTTGTTACTATTTCAGTCTTTCCGACTTAATACTTATCATACGTTTACATTAGTAAAAATACTATGAAAAGTAAGATATAAATAATGATATACTTAAAGATATTACCTCCAAAAATAAATGTGCAGAAAAATAGTAATTAGTAAACATAAAATTGACGTCACCAATCCGGGCCATGTTATAATCGTTAATGCAGTAGTATCTTCTTTGGACTGAAATGTCAAAATGTACTCTTATTAAACCATACACTAATCATGTCATGTCAAGAAATTCAAAGCTTACACAAAACAACTTTTTCCAATTTCAAAAGCAAAATTTAATTTACAACGGGAATCGATAAATCTGTGGAAAGTAAGTTATTCGTCTGATCAAGACGAAAGGATGAATCAAACATTTTTTCAAATTATTTCACAGAAGAGTGTCTCCCCCAAAAATAGCTGTATAATGACTTTGTCTAAGTAATGTCTCCTTGTCAGACCTAATTTTAAAGTTTGTAATTATATTAACATTATATTGACAGTTTCCGAGTCCAAAAAGATACATGTTTGCGAATATCTCCAAAATGAGTCTCATATTGTCTTAAATCGGAATACAATAGATAGTTTCTTTTAATGTATAAACATATTAATTTCCTTTTGTACGTGTTATATGAACTATGAAAAACTTACAAATGTATGAACACTCATTAGCACAGCGAAATTAGTAAAATGGTTACACCGACAAGAGGTGTAACTTGTATTTCTGTACTCTGCATAACACCCGTCTGTCGACCAACTGCCATCAATGCTATTAAAAATATTGCAGTAAATGAATACGGATTTAAAAAAACTAACATCAGCTAGGTACTCTAGAACACATGTTCACATATTTTTCTTCAAAATGAGAACTTCAAAGCACAAATTTTAGAGGTAAATATCACACTAAACTTCACATGAAACGAGTAACTAATAATTATAATGTTAAGGAAATTATTGAACCAATGTATACATATATACTATACTTAGTCCTCGGTACACGTTTCTTGTTTATATTTATTACGAATCCGTAACGTATATAATCCTGAACGGGCATGAAATATTTCCCACTGGACGTTAAGCAACAACCAACAATCAATCAATCATCACGTATAATCGACAAAAAATATTTCATTCGATGATTGTTGATTGAAAACTTTGGCAGCTAGTTAACTTCCGGGTTTTGGTGCCGAAGTTTACCTATTGTGAGACCTAGATAATCAATCAACACATGATCACGTGAAAAAAATAGGTGATAAAGTGGTATTTTGCATCGCACTTATGTCAAGGTTAAGGCCATTGCATACAGAAAAGCTGTTGTCGAATTAGAGAACGAGAGCAGCAGTACATTTCTGAAGATTTGGATACAATAAAGTCTATGTACACGTGTTTATGGGAAAACTTAGCCTTTCAAGTACACACAACTTTTTTTTGTTAAATTTGAAGGATAATTGATTTCAAGCACAAAAAAAGAAATAATTATGAATGTTCAAATGGTGAAAATATTTTTTTAATGTTGAGAAAACTGAAAATTTAACAAAAAGTATACGAGAGGATTTACGGACGCCATCACGAGTTGGAATATTCGTTTCACAGATGATAGCGGATATGTTCCTAATGTCGTTAATACAATCCCGTCCCCTTTTCACGAATGTGACCTACCAAATTAGACTTGTTACCGGGTTTGTACTAACATGAGCAACACGACGGGTACCACATGTGGAGCAGGATCTGTTTACCCTTCCGGAGCACCTGCGATCACCCCCAGTTTTTGGTGGGGTTCGTGTTGCTTAGTCTTTAGTTTTCTTTGTTGTGTTTTGTGTACTATTGTTTGTCTTTTTCTTTTTTAGCCATGGCGTTGTCAGTTTATTTTCGATTTATGAGTTTGAATGTCTCTCTGGTATCTTTCACCCCTCTTTTAAGGTTTTGTCTGTATTCATGCTTGTTCAGTTGTTTTATCATAGAAAGTTTTTTTTATTAATAATTCTGTTTTGCATCTTGTAATTCATAAGGGATCAGTAGAAATAATTATCAGTAGTACTTAACGCATTTATTCTTCAATGAAAAATTAGAAGAATTTCGCATGTATCAAGATTGCAAATTTGTCTTTATATTTCAGCGCCCTTCCCGATTGAACAAGGAACTTTATTCTGTTACAGTTTAACGATATTTCAATGTAACCAATTGTCATTTATAAGGTATGTTACAAAAGAGATAATTTTCCTGTCCCTCTTTAAAGAAGCAGTTTCTGAGGAAGGGCTGTCATCAAAATCACTTCTTTTCAATCTTGCTGAGGTAGTAACATGGCTTTTCAAATTTCTACTTACTCTTTATCAAAATCCCAGAATACACAAGTGGAATTCGTTTTGTTACTCTAAAAAGACGAGTGTTGTAATGTTAATACTTATAATATTTTCTCATACATTGGTAAGATTTGAAACAACATATGAATCTAAATTTAATGTGCATTCTAAACTAAATGCATAAATGACATCGTCTGCAGAATGAATCTGCAAGTGTGTGAAAATTAAGTAATCCGACACGTCACACCAAGTTGATCTGTATTTCGCCATTATACAAGAATCAGCTGAAAACAATCACTCCGATAAACTGGTCTGAACTGTTGGCTCGCATCCATATAATGGACGAATGGAAATAAGAAGTGATAGACTGACACAAGGACTATACCATATGACAAATATGAATACACTTTATTCACCGACTACTTTACCGATAACAACTTTCTAGTTATAAAAAAAGCCACTTCAAACGATCATACAGAAAACAATTATGGTTTGCTGTCATAGTTCTGTCATTGTAGGTTTACATTGTAGAACCTCCAATTTGTAGCACAATTGTGTCAAATCAAATCAATTTTGTATCTTTTAATCCTAAAATGGGCGTAACTGTTTATTCGTACAACCAAACGGCGACTGCGTTTTTATACATCCACATACTCAAGTCATGGTATAGATTTTATCTCTTTGCGTTTTCAGTGGAGTAATCACTGCCATACAAGTTGGAGGTTTGGTCAACCGCAAAATTTTCACCACATTACTTTTATTTCCAAAGAACCTGTTCAAATTAAGGCGAAAGTAATTTAACGATGTTCAAATCTCGTTAATCGATTATTTAGATTATTAAGAGACAAACTCAAACTGAAGGAATCACATAAACTTTCCAAAAAGAGCGAGATAGGGTGCGTCGACAAAGTGAGCGTCTTGTAGTATGCAATCAAAGACAGAAATAATCTCTAATCACGAAAACGGCAATTGTTGTCATATATCTTTTGAAGTTTAGTATATGTGTTATTCCTTATTCTCGCTATGGTTTTAGGAGTAGGGCGGAAGGAAACGATAACCTAAAAAATTTTCGTTAGTTAAAAATATCTTTGGTGATATGTATAACATCTGATTCCTAAAAAATGTTAATTCATGATAATCACTGGTAAAATATTGAATATGAGAAACATTTAGTCAGGAGTGTCATAGTAGGTTTAATCCAACAATATTCTGCAGGTTCCTGTGCTATACTAAAATCTTGAAGTTCAGAAGTTTGTACATGTGTTATACCAAGATCGTGAAACCCGAAAGAAAGTTTGTGCATGTGTTATACCAAGATCGTGGAGTCCAGAAGTTTGTGCATGTGTTATACCAAGATAGTGCAGTTCAGAAGTTTGTGCATGTGTTTAAACCAAGATAGTGCAATTCAGAAGTTTGTGCATGTGTTTTACCAATATCGTAAAGTCCAGACGTTTGTGCATGTGTTATCCCGAATTGCGAAGTTCAGTTTTGTTTGTTTCCAGATTTTTTGTTTATTCTTATTTGAAAAAGACTGTTGAACAGTTATGTATGTTCTGAAAGTCCTTATGGCTTAACAAGGATCCATGACTCTTCTACTGTACGGTGCTATTATTTATTTATTGGGGGTTACTATCGTATTTAAATAATATTTCGATACTGAATATGATTTTTACAAAGTCGCGGCCGAATGTTAATATACGTTATAGGGCAACGTGGTCCCTAAGAAATTTATTTAGTATGCAGTTTATCGTAGACATATTTGCTGTAAAACTTATATTATTAAAAACAAATAAAAAATCACTCACGTATACATGTTCATAACCAATTTGAACAGGAGGAAATACATTATTTGCAGCTGCAAATGCTGGTAACGAAAATGAAACAACATCTGATCCTACATTCAAGTCAAAAGTGGACCTACAAAAATTATTAATAATGGGACTGATTTATATAGTTGATCGTCGAATGTTTAATATGAGATTTACTCTCTTGAAAACAAAACTTTACAAATTTCATGATATTCCTTATCTTTAATATCCTTGTGTATGAAGCTTCGGTATTTTTTTTCCATCCCACACGGTGTACAATTATCGTGAAGATAATGTAGTTGCATTTTCCAATTAGTCACCTACTCGTTGGAAAAATTATTTTTTTTAGAAAATGATGCACTTTAAACACAGATGTTAATGTTGCATTTCCTGAAAAAATAGATTGCAACTAATCAGCAAAGACAAATATTTCAAAGGAAAAACATTGGACCAACAATCAACGCACTAATTGACAAAATTTCCGAGATACTACCGATTAAATTTTAAAACAATGTTCACTGTTTCATACTATTTTTATCCAAGAATAAGTATATTTTTAATTTAATCTATAAAAAAAAGAAAAGTTTTGATACAAAGTCAGGTACAAATCATTGATCTGGATAAGTAAGTATGATTTAATTTTATACTGTTTTTTTCATTTTTCTTTCAACCTGTGATATCTTTCATGACTTCCTGTTTAACATAATCCAATATGATCAAACTACATATCATGTGTTACTTGTAAGCGAAGCACACGGGTCTCTATTTCAATCAGACTGAACTTAGTCTTGAAATTGTTACCTTTCTTCATTTCGATTCTTCGTGATTTTTTTTCAGTACGCGAGCAACTTTTAAAGTGTAGGGGTTATACATTTTGTCCGCGGAATTAAAAAGTAAATAAATTGGCACGATAAAAAATAAAGTGGGTGCAATTTTCTTCGGTTAGTGTCACTTAATACCGAAGAGTAGAACTCAAGGGAAATGTTTATCAAAGCTGAGGTCTAGGATTTGTCCTAATACCATTTCAAGAGATTTTATCGAGCTTTCGATAATAAATGTTTTTTAGCGATGATCGAGGGCAAAATTTGGAATATTGAATACTTCTTCAAAAATTGAAGAGTAGATACCACCCCCCCCCCCCCCCAAAAAAAAAAACAAAAAAAACAAACAAAATCAAGAGTATAGCAAAAGCTCGGCAAGGAATCACAGCTTTGCATAAGGGAGATATACTCCTTGATTTAAAGAATTTCAGAAATTTGATAACATCAAATTTCAATAATACAATATCCGTAATCGAGAATAAATATTTTTGAGTGAATCGAATTCGAAGTGTCAGGGTTTCATACATTCAGGAGTTCAAAAGCAATTCGCTTGAATCATGCATTGATAAATAAATATATTAAGTCATATATATAAGGAGAAGATAATCTTTTTTATTGCCAAAAAGATACGAGCGAAGATGAGCAAATCAAGGATTCCTAACTTTACAAATACCGAACATCATACTCATCTGGGTGAATTGGAAATGCATAAATCTCCAATATGTAGAATTTTGCAACCAATAGTGTTAATACGATTTATAGCTTACAAGGATAAAATTCACCGTTAAATCAAAGGGCTTGAGTAAAGTTGAAATGTTATTAACAATTTTCGTAATTACATTAACGGTACCATTTTTTCTGATCCAGATGCGCATTTTGACAATAAATGTATCTTCAGAGATGTTCGAGGCCAAAATATTTCTAAAAATGAAGAGCTTATAAACCAAAAATGACAAAAAGCATAGTAAGCCGAGCAAGGAATCAGACCTTTGCATGAGGGAGACATATTCCTTAATTCAAAATGATTTCCAAAATATTGTTACGTTCTTCCATTAGAAAACATAAAAAGATTTAATCATATTTTATTAATAGCTCAACTTTTTTGACATGATAGCCTTAAAAGTTTTAATTAAATTGTAGATCGTTTGTGTGGTGGCGTATTTATACCACGAATAATGTTAACATATCATAAATCACCAGTGAAACTTTTATTATGAAATAGAACGGGTAAAGTCGTCCTTACTTAGGATAATTTGACAAATACACAAGGAAAACGATTGCAATGAATAGCCCATGACAATGTCGATAAGGGTAAGTAGTCAGATAAAACTATTTACTGATTCTGAACGATTGGTAGAGTTGTTGCGGAATTGAATTAATGTTAATTTTGGACAAAAATGTGCAAAAGTGACTCTCCTCAATTAGTTAGATATATTACGGTAAAAGTTTCATCAATGTTCTATAATAGACAGCTGTGTAATCAATACTTCCTGAAATATACAAAAGAAAATCATGTTCAACTACATGTACAAAAAAAGAACAATTATTGGCTAGATGCTTCGTGAAGTGTTTAATTATCATCATTCTTTATCATTCATTTTTTTATACATCCGCTTGACAGAATCTATGAACTATATTTTATGACAAAAAAACGTGTTGATTGTAACTTTCAAATTGTCAACTTCCAATTCCGCAGCAGAAACATGCCTTTCTCTTCACCGTATGGCGTTTACTTATTTCCTTTAATACGTTACGCTCGTGCATGTTCATACAATTCGGACTTAATAAACATGAGTGTGCTTCTTATAAAAAAAAATGCTCCAACAGATGTATAAGGAAGAAAGACTGCAATCGAAGCTATATGAGTTTTACGGTCACTATCACGAATTAGTTACCCGATACGATGTGTCGGTGTCTCAACCCAGTAGCTTCACGTTTTCGCGGTCCTTGATCTTTACATACCAGTAAAGTCGTCTGGTCTGTAACTTTACCGATTGTTTCCTATTCCCGATTGTGATATTTTTACTGAGTGTGAATTCCCATGGTGGGAGATGCATGCATAGCAGGAGACGGAGATGAAACGGGCGTTTGGCGTAAAAAATGTTAATCCTCATATCTATCATGAGTTTATCTTCTTTATTTATTTACAATTCAGAACATCTTAACTCCCGGTGAAGTAAAATTTTCTTACTTAATTGTTGAGGATGAGGTGATGAGAAAAACCAATACCATATAGTCGGCTGTAGAAGGCCCCGACATGAAAAATGTGAAACATTCAATTGAGAAAACTAACGGCCTAATTTATAACAAAATAATTTACGAAAAACAAATATGACAGACACGAACCAACACCATCCACTGAACTACAGGCTCCTTTCATGGGACAGACACTTAAAGAATGTGGCGGGGTTAAGCGTGTTTGTGAGAGCTGAAACCTCACTTAACTTGGAACAGTGTTGTTACAGATTAACATAAGAACAAACTATAAAAATAATTTTGCAATTGTCTTAACTCAAAAGATCGGTACAAGGCACAAAACAACACTGTTCAGAGTCATTTAAGTGTACAATAACTCGTAGTTGAATTGCAAAATTATCGAGTTAAGAGACAAAAGGAAAATGATCAGAATTTAAATATTCGAATTGTTTGTCAATAAGGTCACCCTTTTATTACGGACACCACTGTGTCCTTGGTGACGTCCGGGTAGGAATTTTTATACTGAGTGACGTTCAATCCATTATTCTTTCAGAACTTTTTAATTTCAAGCAAAAATACTACTAAATGGATGATGTTTACAAGAACAAAGTATCCAGAACGAAAGATAAAAAACCTAATGGGCATTCAAAATTCCAATGAAAACAGATAACATTAAGGACAAAGATAAAAAAAAAAACAATGAAAAGACTAACAACAATATCAAAAAAATGTTCAGAAAACGAAAGATGTAACAACACGAACTCCACAAAATACTTATGTGCTCCCGAAGGGTAAGCAGTTCATGTTCCATATGTTGAACCTGTCGCGTTGCTTTTGCAAGTCCAAATAAACATACATTATATTTTGAAGAGTTTACATGCATCTCAAAATACAATTTTGAAAAAGATATCTCAAATTCAGAGAGAGGAAGACATTTAGTTTCAGGCAGCGACTAATCGTCTATGTCTCTTTTTCTCTACAAAATGATATCTGTATTCGAATATTCTCTTACATTTTCAGTGTGAAACCTGACCTTGCTTCTTTGTTCCATAAAGTTAAGGTTATTTTTCTTACCATTTAGGTTATTCTTAATTGTATCCTTACTAAGAAATAACCTAGCGTTCGTCATCTGTTGATAGATACTTGACAGAACAGTGACATTTGGGAAAACCACGTCATCAAAAAATGCTTTTTTAGCTTCTAAAACTATAAAAGATTGCAAATAATTATTCATAAGAGTCTATTCAATCATTTATTGCACTTTTATTGAAAAAAAAGATTAAAGATAAAAAAAAAAATCAAACATTCTGCAAGTGTGAATTATAAAAAATATATAAAAAATATATCGTACAACCTTAATTTTTCATGGTGCAAGAACAGTCCTAGACCCAAGATATTAACTTTATTTGTATTTCAGGTAAAGTTATTATCATGATTTTTGGCCCTTAATGCTCTTCAACTTCGTTCTTTATTTTTCCGTTTAGCTTTTTTGATTCGAGCGTCACTGATGAGTCTATAGTAGACGAAACGCGCGTCTGACGTACAAAATTATAAGCCTGCGGCTCTTTTCACAAAAAATCTTACGACTAAAATTGATCGTAAGTTATACTGAAATGTTCATGACTTACGAGTACTTTTTCTCGTAAGATTTTTTGTGAAATTAGTCGCTGGTATATTTGATGATTTTTTCTTATTGTTCTCCGAAATAAATCTTGACTGTTCTTTGCAGTACATATTTAACTTGCCTATGTTTTCTCGAACAAGTATTACATCTTCCGATTGATTAACGTTCACTTGGAATCCGAATCTGGAAACAACATTCATTATGGTCGAAACATGATTAGTTGTTTTTATCTGCAAAAAAAGAAAAAATGTATTCTTGCCGGAAATGTCAAACAAGACAAAATATAGGTGAACAGTGACTAAATAAAACACGGTTACCTGACACATTATAAATTGAATAATAGTTTTGAGCAGTGCTATAATATGGTTGGATTTCCATACTTTTAGAAGACAGAATTTCCAACACTCCATCATGCAATTATGCGGATTACTATTTCAGAATGACTTAATAAAAAGAAAAATAACAAAAATACCGAACTCCAGGGAAAATTCAAAACGGAAAGTCCATTATCAAATGGCAAAATCATAAGCTCAAACACATCACACGAATGACAGGAAAGAATAGAAAATTTCTAATTTCTAAAACGTCTGTAAAATCTAAACAAAACACAAAAAAAAAACAACCCAGAAATAATCCCATGAACACATTTTTGTGAGAGGCACGCATATTCATATCAACAAAAGAACAAATAATACTGTGTGTATCTAAAAAATCATAATGCTTCATTTTATAAAGGTTTGATTACGGAAAATAATATTCACTTTCAATAAATGGACACAGCATATAAAATCCTCGCATATTCCATCCTTCTCTCATCGTTTTCCAGATATTCAAAATTTCACAAGGACTTTCTACAAAGGTGAGAATTGTGGAGAACCTGTGAGTTTTTTCTTTCTTTTATTTTTGCCGGGGGGGGGGGGGGGGGGGGGGGTTAATTTGAATAATATTTTTTATTAATTTCGAACATTTATTTATGATATCATAAAACTATTTTAACACATAATTTGATTCATGTATACTCACTTTATAATTTAACGTTCTCCAGCTTTCCTCGTTGACACTTGATAGCAATCTATCCAAAATTGATAAGAAGTTCTGAAATCATAATTTTGCTTTCATCACAATACATATTCTGACTGTTCACATTTTTTATGGAACACGTTTTAAAGTATGCTGCGTCAAAAAAGGAATGTTCAAAAGTTTTGAATAAAACGTTTTTTTTTTTTAGATTTAGTTTCTGCTTAGTGTGATGAGCTGAATTATAAGCTTATGAAAATAAGGAGATGTGGTATGAAAGCCAATGAGAATGAGACAACTACCCATCAAAGTTCAAATGAAGTGGATGGAAGCAATTATAGGCAAATATGAAAAAAAATCAATTGAGAAAACCTAATTCATAACAAAATAATTTACGAACAACAAATATGACAGACATGTCATTGACCCAACGATATTAGACTATTTACGTTTCACCACAAACGTAAGGAAGGAGTAGCGAATATTTTAGTTTCTATTTCAAAAGAAGAACAGTTTTAATCGGAAGATACTCTTTTAATTATAAGTATCCACATGTATATATAGTAATTTTCATGGTCAAGGGGTCTAAATACAGCACAAACAACATTTTCCGAAAGACCAAATGAGTGAAAAAGTATATTTTAACAAAACGCATTTGACTAGCAGGTCGAACAACTGATGTTCTTAAACCCTGCTGACTGCCATTGGCGATTGCCAAATAAACGGATCACAAGATGTAACAAAATAGATCTTATTATTAATTTATTACCAAACAAAAAACAATAAACTTGCGGAAAAGATGGTATACCGCAAACATGAGGTGCAAAAATTTGTACACCATATCCGGATTTCGACAATTAATGTCTCTTCAGTGATGTAAGGAATCGAAACGGTATTTGGAAGGCCATATAATTTACCTCAATTTAGGATAGACTCTTGAACTTTGAAAGAGTCAAAATATGATGAACGGATCATATAAACCCGAAGGCAAATATAATACAAGACTAAACGAAAAAATATAAACAAGTTTAAATTGAAAACAACGTTCAAACCTCTGATTGCGTTGGATAAAAACCGCAATTTTTATACGTGTGCATGCAAAACAAATTTCTTGGTCGAGGAGTCTAAATACAGCACAAACAACATTTTCCAAAAGACCAAATGAGTGAAAAAATATATATTTTAACAAAACGCATTTGACTAGCAGGTCGAACAACTGATGTTCTTAAACCCTGCTGACTGCCATTGGCGATTGCCAAATAAACGGATCACAAGATGTAACAAAATAGATCTTATTATTAATTTATTACCAAACAGAAAACAATAAACTTGCGGAAAAGACGGTATACCGCAAGCATGAGGTGCAAAAATTTGTACACCATATCCGGATTTCGACAATTAATGTCTCTTCAGTGATGTTAGGAATCGAAACGTTATTTGGAAGGCCATATAATTTACCTCAATTTAGGATAGACTCTTGAATTTTGAAAGAGTCGAAATAGGATGAACGGATCATATAAACCCGAAGGCAAATATAATACAAGCCCAAACGAAAAAATATAAACAAGTCTAAATTGAAAACAACGTTCAAACCTATGATTGCGTTGGATAAAAACCCCAATTTTTAAACGTGTGCATGCAAAACAAATTTCT